AGGATCATTTGGCTAAAAATTCGGATTTTGTATCAGGGGAACATGAGGCTCGAAGAGGTGGCACGACAGAATCGGCCGTTGAACGGATCTCCTGATACAGAGGTTTTTCGAAAAATTTTGGTTTTGGAATAACTGGCTTACGAGTAGGATCATTTGGCTAATAATTCGGATTTTGTATCAGGGGAACATGAGGCTCGAAGAGGTGGCACGACGTTGCCCGCCGTTAAGTACTCCTAGTACAGAGGTTTTTTGAAAATTTTTAAACAGGAATATCTCGTGGACGAGAAGGGATATCTCTATGAAAATTCTTTCGATTTATCAGGAAAACATGCGACTCGAGGAGGTTGTACGACATGGCCCGCCTTGGGCCTGTTTTGGTACATTCGGTCAAATTTTCAGAAATTCCTTCTCGTTCACGAGGTATTTTTTTTTATAGCTTTTCGAAAAACCTCTGTATCAAGGGTACCGCTCAACGTGTGGTATGTCGTACCACCTCTTGGAGTTTTATGTTCTCCTGTTGCATTTTTCTAATTTTTCGGCAAAAATTCGTTCTCGTCCTTATTTGTGTTAATACTCGTTATTTTTAATAATACTCGTTATTTTTAATAATACTCGTTATTTTTAATAATACTGATTCATGCATTGTATTATTAAATTAGATTACTAGAATAGCTGTAGATTTAATGAAAAGAATTGTATCATAAATGATTTAAGTAGATTCTTTTGCGATTAAAAATTTAATTCATTTTTTGTAGTCTTCACCGCCTAGTTTCGATAATATAATATAACAATTGGTCGTTACTATGCTTGTTGCTCACTGTTATATTCTTGGTTGCTGCTTTAGTCACAGACGACTGCAGTTTTGTATTATCGCTCTCTGAAAGTAGCACTATTCGTATTTCAGCAATGAACCTTTCGGTGAACGACTGAGGATGTTGATGTTGCTGTACTATGTTGTGCGGACGTAGATTTCGTTAGATTTGTGTGGGTATACCCAGTAGAAGTTTATTTTTCTAAAGACGTAGGATGATGCTGTTAAGGTGTAGGTAGAGTTATAAATGATAGAGATAGAGTGTGCTTCTCAGAGTTGCCGCCAGACTCATCATTGATGTAGCGACCTCTACTTTGAAGTATTTAGATCATTGATATGTATGCTCATTAAATCGTTCCGTCGAGATGTGTATTTAATATAAACAATAGAATATTTAAAAATTACTATTAATTTTATTATCACCATGGGAATGTTTACAGACATTTATATATATTGTAACCAGAGTAGAAATTCTTCATTCGTTATTTAACTTTCATTATTTAATCTTCATTAAATTATTAGTAATTATATATTTTGATAATATTTTTATATAAACAACTAAAATTAATTACGGGGTTATTACTTATTTGTAGTATTGTGATATAAATATGAATTATCATAATTACTACATTGAGGCTAATGGTGGCGACACCCACCCCAGACGGTTGTTTTATTTGGAACCTCTAGGCCATGGAGACGACATCCATCCTAGATATGCTTTGGACGCTGCACGCTTAATGTGAAGATCGCACTCGATCGGTAAGTAAGCGGCATCCACTTGCGGCAGATGATTTTCGTATCTTTGAAACTGGTATACTGAGGAAAGACTGGATGTAGTAGCCGCTACATTTGTATGGAGGTTTACTCTTAATAAATGTATCATGAAAATTAACAAGGAACCACATTTATGTATAACAAGATCTTTATGACGACCGCTTACTTTTCTTGATTTTTAACAACTGAGGTTGGAATATATTTCCCGTTATTTTATTTTCTTCTTTTTTTCTTTTGTAATCAATGTCGCTGCTGTTAAACTCGTGTTAACCCGGGATTACCCACGTGAAAGTCTAGTCGCCGGGATGTACCTGCGCTAGACCCCCAGGTGGGTAATCCCGGGTTAAAAATACGCGCGACGCCAGATTGGTAGCCAATTATTGTACAAGATCAGCAAAAACGATTAGTTTCACATTTTCACCGCTACGCGACGCTGTAGTTACTATAACTGGTATAACGAGTTACCCTACTATAAAAGGAAATATGGTACTTTATTTTATCGTGTACATAATACAGGATATTGACAGCTATGATGTATTTGCCCTGACAACCGTTATATATATGTATTTGCCCTAATGACTGTTATAAATCTCCTTAATGACTGTTATAAATCTCCTTAATGACTATTAAATGACTGGCTAATTTTCATGATCTCTTGTCTTCGAGTTTCATAAAGTTGGTGCCGTAAATTTATCGGGAACGAACCTTTCGACGAGACGAGTTGAGCAGCAATAGATGTCGCTACATGTCCATGAACCGACCAAATTCTCATTTGCAAATAAAACTAATCAGCGAGACTAATTTACGAACTTGTACGATTGCATCCTTAAAATCAAACCCTCAATTCTCATTGAATTCGATTTGTAAAATGTTTGTAGAAATATTTACAAATTCTGTTCGACAAAATCATTACACTCCTTTGATTAATATTTAAACTATGTCTAAAATTTCGTTCGAAATTGGGCTTAGTTGAAGAAAAATCAGCTCTAAGATACGTACGCGTAAATTAATCCATGCGAGAATTTAGGATTCATCGTATCGCATAATTTTAATCTGTAATTTAAGCTTTGATCCATTTGTTTTTTTTTTCTTTTTCACTTTTTTCATTTCCATACTGAATACGAACGATATAATTAACGTCACCGAGCACTGAAAAAATTTATATCTAAATCGACGAACGTTGTCCCATCGCGAAGCATTTGTTTGCGAAATTCCTTGGCCTGTTTCCTTTCCTCGTACAACACTGGATCCTTGTCGATTCGTGCCAGGTTGGGCAACATAGCCAAAACAACGTGTCTATAAGCAGATTCTTCCTCCGCCTCTCTGTCAGCTGTCGCCGGATTTTCCAAAATAATCAGAGTCTCCAACGCCGGCAAGCAATCCAGTTTCTCCAACTCCGAGATTCTTGTGATCTCGTTGTCTCGTAGATTCAGGTAACTGAGCCTGGCACAACGCGAGTCAAATCCATCCAAACTCGAGATTTTATTGCTCCTGAGATGTAGAACCTGCAGGTTGACCAATATCTCCAAACCCTCCACTTTCTCTATTTGATTCGCCGCGAGATACAGCCGCGTCAGCCGTGGAAAGAAGATTCCATTCGTTGTTGTCAGCACATTTCCACGAAGCTCGAGGATCATCAAACTCTCGAGATCGTACGGACTCAGAGTGACTTCCTCGATATTATTGTGATTTAATTCCAAACGTTCCAGACGTTTATGAGAAATTCCCAGCGTGCTTTCCAGTTTATTCTCGTTCAACGTCAGGATCTGTAGCGACACGTTGGAGGGAACAATAGAATTAAATGACAATAAAAAAATTAACTAGAAAACAAAATGGAGGAAGAGACTAGGGGAGGGGAGGAGAATTTTAAAAATTTATTAAAAGAGTAAGATTAACCTGAAGATAAGGCATAGGATCTAATTCCGCGGATGATAGTTGATTCCTGTCAGCCTGAAGCATCAGAAGATATTTCATCGACGAAAGAACGCCAAGCGCCTCGGTCGTTAACCTATTACCGGAAACGTTCACGTATAACACGTATTTGAACGTTGGTACGATTGTGACATCTGTCAGTCCCTTGTTAGATGCGTTCAGGCCCAGATAAGCGTAACCAAGGCCGGAGTCGCATTTCCCTAATGTGTGAAGACACTCTCCTGCCTCTGATTGCGTCAACGATCTTATGTTATCTTCGAAGATCGATGAAGATGTTCTGGTTGAATATCTGTCAATTTCACCCGTCACCTCTTCGTACCTTCTATCTTCTTGTTCCTCCATCGTCCTCTTGCTTCGATTTCTTTAACATTGACTATTTTTTTTTTTCTTGATATTCCTATCTTGTCTTTATTTTACTTCTTGAAATAACAAATATAGTAAAATTAGTAGTCGCGAGAAAGACTGCTAACTTTCATGCACAGAAAGTTGGATATAATTACGAAAATATACAAAATATACGTAGTGGAGAGTTTCTTTTTCATAAATAAAACGAAGTTTTGCTTTCGTTCTGTCCTTAGTTCGTAGAAATTTGAAAAGAAATTTCGCGAATAAGAGCAATTAACCTTATGTCAACGTTTCGCAGGCGAGTCAAAGGCAAGATTCACGTTCACTTGTTTATTACGAAAGTACAAACCGTAGAGTGAAATGGAATAACAACGCAGAGAGATATATATCGATCAGCCATAAATCCATCAACGAGTTCTGATGCATCTGGCTTCGTCCAATTTCAATCTGTAGCTCTTCTCAGCGGGTCGTTCTCGTTGCATGATGTCGCGAAGTTTCCTCAAAAGTATGAAATTCTCTCGCGCGATACGATCTTGTTTCTCGCGTTCCAGCTGCAAACCCTTCGCGTTGAAAGCTACGTGAGGTCTTGTTTGCGGCGGATCGACGTCGATCGCTCGCGTAGCCTTCTCTACCTAAAAAAAAAAAAAAGTGAATCGTTCGTTCAGACGGTCAACAGCGTATTAACAACGATCGAACGGTTACTTTTAAACGATGACGTTCGTAGGCTTTACGCCTCCACAAAGATGAAGCCGAGGAATTTTTATTTTGTTCGCGAGGCATGCTGGCTTGCTCGCTCGATCAGGTGAACTCCTCTGCTCGTACTGTTTACGCGATATATACGTGACACGGTTACCAAGTTTCTTTGGCAACGCTCTCGCCACCGGTCTCTATCGATCATTCCTGTTTATTGCGCCAGGTTTCGACAACAAGGAACTGCGTGTTTCCTTTGATTGTCGTTAGATATTATACTTCTTGTTATTATAGAAGATACGTAATAATACACAAGATATGTAATAATAAGATTATTATTAAGATTATTATATTGTATTATGTAACAATAAGATACTTATTATTTTTATTATTCTTATTATTCTTATTATTTTTATTATTCTTGTTATTCTTATTATTTTTATTATTTTTATTATTCTTATTATTCTTATTATTTTTATTATTTTTATTATTCTTATTATTCTTATTATTTTTATTGTTTTTATTATTCTTATTATTCTTATTTTTATTATTTTTATTCTTATTATTCTTATTATTTTTATTATTTTTATTATTCTTATCATTCTTATTATTTCTATTATTTTTATTATTCTTACTATTCTTATTATTTCTATTATTTTTATTATTCTTAAGATTCTTATTTTTATTATTATTCTTATTATTCTTATTATTTTTATTATTTTTATTATTCTTATTATTTTTATTATGTATCAATAAGATACTTCTTATTATTTTTAACAATATTGTTATTAATAACAAGTTAAATTTCGAATGAGATTTTTTCATACTATTACGTCTTACGATATAATTTTAAGAGTGAGAAAGTAGGTACCTAATTGTTGCAAGTGTTACATCTTGTTCAAGCTACTACCTATAACACTAATTCATTACATATTCGTATAAATCTTTGAAAGTGTGACAAGAATATCACATCACTTTTTATTTCGTAAAGTTCATCGAAAACCGATCTACAAATCCGCATCACCTTTTATATATTTCCATTTATATATTTTATATTTTAAATCTAATTTTACATTAGACTGCAAGAATTTAAGACTATGATGTACAGAGTGTTTCAGTTTATTTCCGCTAAACGACACCGACGTGTTCCATAGCAGTGACGGCGAACTTTTTCGAGAAGTAGGTCAAATTATGTTCATTATTTTTTTTGTTACTACCTCAGTGGCGTTATTTGGAAAGGGGGGAGGGGAGGATGGTTAAAAACTACTTTTTTTTGGTTCTCACTTTTACAATCTTCTAAAAAGTTTACGTTTCCTTTTTTTGTTTTACAACGTTTACTTTTGCAAGTGAAGAGCAAAAAATAAATGTCGACGTCGAAAAATTGATGTAATAGAAGTCACATCATGCCCAGTCACCCTTGCACTATACAATTATACTTTATTTCTTAATATTTTTTATTATCTATTCTCTCTTTTATTACATAAAAAAACTAGCAAAGCTACCCATTCTGAGAATGAGATCTAGTGTGTTTTTTAGTGTTTATTACCTCTGTTTAATCGTAAGCGCTATATAAAATTTTTTGGACACAACTAACTCGTATAACATTTAAAACCTATAAAAAATACCTATATGTATACATAACCAAGTCGTAAATCCTCCATAAAACACAATTATGCATTTATTTCTCACTTTTAAGCTCGAACCGAACACTTGTAATTTTCTGAACATTTTCTGAAAAGTGGGGTTCGAAAAATAATTAAAATTCTTTTATGATGACAAGTTTATAAAAATCAACGCGTGGATCATTTAGAAAGCCTGCGTGGGTCAATGTCTGAGGTTCGCCATCATTGTTCTATAATGAAAAGTGAGAAAACTTTTTTTATATAAACGCAAGGTCGTAAATGCTAAAACACAAGATATCTGGCTGTTACATAAACTAGCTATTACATATAGTTTCCGAAAGAATTTTGGAAAATTTATTGCTTTTATTATAAAGTAATTCGCATCAACAATTAATACGAAGAATCTATGGTGCTTTTTAACGTTATGAAAGAAAGGTCGAATGAAAACCTCCCTGGAAATGAACGGATGCCAATTCCGAAGAACAACTTCGACAAACACGAACGAGAGTTTGATATTTGAATTGAGACGCATTCTTTGAAATTTTGTGCCTCTTGTTGCGATTAATGACTCCTCTCTTTCGTCACCTAAAATATGTCGTTCACGTCCAATTCATCCATCATCCGAAAGCATCCTGAAAGTTGTTGCAAGAAGCAGAAATTCTCGTTGCTTCCACGGTCACGTGCATGCACGACCACGTGCGCGTGTATGCACGCGTGAATCACCACTACCAATAAACACAATTCTTGTTGGAAGCTCCGATTGGTTGATCCGCCGGGCCAATCGCGTCGCGGAGGCGGAGATTCGGCGGACGCGTGTTTTCTTTTTCCCCTCTTTCTCGCGTCGTCGCGACGCCGTTAAACGCACGCGTGAAATTAATTTCGCCGCGCTTGGCATTCATGGCGACGAAGTGGGACTTGCCGCGATGCCACGGGGACGAAAGACGACGCGACCAAATTCAATTTCGGCGAGTTCGATGGATTCCTTCGACAAACGAAATTTCATCCTCCGCTGTAGAAACTAGTTTTGCACTTTCAGAGGCTCGTTTCTTTATTGATTTGGGCAAGCACAAACGTTGCGAAATTCCGGATACATTTATAAAAATTTGTTTTTCTAACTTTTGGGACGAACGTGAGCTTCGCTTTGGATAGAAGTATTAACAGCTGAAAACTTTTTCTTTTTCTTTTTTTTTTTTAAGTGCTTTACATCTATCAGTCTAATCGTTCAAATAAATGAAGGTTTATTATGTGGATTAATAGCTGATATTTTGTAGCTTTATTAGAACGACAGTTAGTCGTCGGTAAGGCGGTTTAATTATGGCAAGACCGAACATTTCGAATGTATAATACTGCTTGGGGAAGAGATGTCATAAAGAATAAGGAATGTCATAAAAGACACATTGTGAAACACATTTCTTACCTGCAGTGAATTTCAAATTTTCTTTTACAATTCAGAAAATGCAGGTAGCGTTAGTACTTTCAATATTCTATAATTCAGCTGATCGATCGGTTTTCACAGACAAAACGAATACCAAACGAAAGTACAGAAAATTGTTTCTTTTATCTTCTGATGACCGGATTTACAATAAAGTTAAACACAGTAAATAAAATTATTATACACGTATGCTCCAGCAAAGATGAAAGCGTGTGTTCGTGTCTCAAATATTCTATCAATATTTTCTATTTTTGTTTACTCACAATTAGTGTTAGAGTAAAGATTCGAGAAACCTCGGTATACCAACATAGAAGATGTTAAAGACCCTCTCTCCAGGACAAAATTACAGACGCCTTCGGTGTCGGCACGAAGCAAGGATGAAAAGAAAAGAAGAAAAAAAAAAGAGACAGGACATATAGGTATCCACTAACGCGGATCGTGCAAAGGGTCGTCGATCTTAATCGCGGATCCTCGACAATGATCCTCTCAAACGGATGAGCCCTCGCCACTCGACGAACGATGAAGATCTCTTCCCTCGAGGGGATACACGGTGTTCCAGGCCTTGCTACGAAACAGGGAGCCCCCGTAACACGTAGTTTCCCATATCTACGGGGGATAGTGAGCCAATCCCTGTACGAACTGATCCAGCTACAGTATATTATATTATCCTCGTGCTGCACTCTTTGCCTCGCCCATTCTTTTTTCATCCTTGCCTCCGACTCTCGAACCGGTATGAATCGCTTTCACGATGCTTCCACAGCTGACGTGAAAAAGTATTTAGTTTCCTTTTCTCTTTTTTTTTCTTCTCTCTCCTCTCTCTCTCTCTTTCCAATGTTCGTTTCACTCGAAACAATGAGACAGAGATGAGAGATTCGAGAAATGGAGAATCGAGAATTTGAAAGACGACCGATCTCGGCCTCTTTTTCTGAATTGGACACAATGTTTGATTGACCTCGTGAAATTTAAATGCTCGATTATTAAAATACACCGACACCCGTTTAAGTTCCGTGTTAACTTTCCTTAACCTAATCGCCTGGTGCCACAACTTCTCTAACAACAATTTCAATTTCTCGAGTAGTAGTAAGCTAAAGTACAAACCGATTTAGAATTTCAATCCTCTGCTTAAAAATATGCGCGCGAAACTTCTCATTCAGACTCGGACTTGGAAATTTAATGTTTATACGAAGCAAAATACGTGTAATCAGGGGTGGTTCGTGCGTCCCCAATTTTTCAATCGGTATTTATATAATAATTATTTGTAATTATAATATTATAATATGGGTATAATAAATATTTATATTTGCTTTTTGTTGTTTAATTTTATCGTCAACAATCCTATGCAAATCTCTTGCAAAAACTGATAAATAAATTATAAAATATAGAAGTAATAAAAATGTAAATATAATATAAATGTAAAAAAAGGAATAAAAATCCACTATTAAAATTTACAGTGCGTGCATTTTGAAAGCAGCACATCCGCGAGTCGCCGCTCGTATGCAGTTGAACGTGTAAATATATTATATATTGTATCAGACAGCCTACCGTACGAACGGCTGCAAAATCCCGTAACGCAATTTCAAAGTCACCCCATAACGTTCCTACCCTACGTACAGGGTGAATTCTGCGAGAGACACGTTACGGAGGTTTTCCTCCACCCCTACGAGTTCACCCCTTAGTGATTCGATGGGCGTCGTGGTGGGGGAAATGTGGGCCGGCCGATGGGCGTGGCTTGTTCCAGGACGAAAAAACTCGAACCTTTCGCTGCCGTGTTGTACTTAGTCTCCACTGAGACGCCAGACGGCGCAGTCGAACGCGCGGAATTCGGTACTCTGTGCTCGAATTTCAGCTCCTGATCGTCCGGTGAACTGTGAAATTATACACACGTTATAAGGCAAACAATATTAATAAAGCGAACAAAATATTGGGTGACAAGGTCACAATTTCAATTGACGCGTTGTTTCGTCCAAGTGTAAATAGAAGTGCTCGATCGCTGATACAATCGAGCGTGTACGATCGCTGTAATAATTGATTTGGCCGTTGGTTTTTCAATTGTCTGTGCAAAATGATGCACACGATGAGCGAGCACACGGCAGGATCTGGCGGACTGGGTGTCAGTGTGCTTCCCTTCGATGGGATGGGTTTGTTCGAACAGCAACGACCCAGATTCCTCTTCAAGATGCCCAAGGTTGTTCCCAATCAGAAAGCCAAGTTCGAGACGGAGGAACTGTTCAGGCGACTGAGCCGCGAAAGCGAGGTAAGTTGATTTGAAGTTTATTTGCCTCTTTCAGATAGATTCGCGAGGTGAAACGGTTTTCCTTTTGCGAAAACCACTTTGGGAACATTGAGCTGTAGTAGCTGTGTAAATTCAAAATGTTTGCGAGAGAGTGATGGTAGAAAATCGAAATTACAGATTGGCTCGATTGAAACACCGAAAATACCGTTGAGCTACCGAGAGGAAGCATTTCACATTTTGCGAGCAAAGATTCAAAGTCATTTGGATAATTTTGATAATTCGTAATTATCTAATGATTAACGATTAATTGTCTAATTTTCTATTCACACTGAGAGATGATTGCTTGTCACAGTACGATGTTTATAAATGTTGCATTTAAGTCGGAACTAAGAGTCAAAATTGTTACGATAGAGTTCTCGTGAAGACTTTTATTCTATTTATACTTTTTTTTCGCCGCTAATATTCAAAAATTGATCTTTGCCTGTGATACGTACAATTTTTCAATTTTCTATTCATCTATGAATCACTTGATCATAATCAAAATAACTTTACAAAAATGTACACTCTCGGTATCTACGTCAAAATTAATTTAGTCCGCCATTCATTCGAAAGGAATGTCGTTTCCTCGACAATTTGTTGCTCGTGAATTAATTCCCGCCGCTGATTTCATTCTCCTCCGACGGCAACTAGTGTTAGTGATACGTATACACAGAGCAAACATTGAATCATACTGCTCGCAGCTCGTATCAAAGATTCGTAGAAATTAATCGAGCAAAAGTGTTTTAACTTCAAGCGTCATCGTACAAACTTCTGAACCGAAAGACGCTGAACATGTTTTTTAATGTTGCTTGTACAGGTCAGGTACACTGGTTACCGAGACAGGCCAGTCGAAGAACGCCAAGTACGCTTCCAAAATGGCTGTCGAGAGGGCTACACGGAGATCGCGTTCGCCGCAACTGGAACAAACCTCCAGCTCGTTTTCGGCAATGCTTCCGGCAATTACGCCAGCGATATCAACGACTGCGACTTTGAAAAGGAACGTGGCAAGGTTGGTTGCATGTTTGAAATTCCTTTATGAAATGGCTTTAAGCAACACGCGTGGAAGTTCATCCTTGAGTTTCTAATTTTGTTTTTTTATTGAAGAAGGTGTTTAACACTTAAGTCAAAGTATTCAACACCTTCAAGATGATGGTATAACGTAGTAAAGATTTTAATAACCATCCGCTTACGTCAAATTTAATGTTGGTGATATTCCACGCGAGATTTTTCAGAAGTTTGAAATATTTCGGAAATGAACAGAATAGAACGAAAATGATATTTAATTAAATTAGATTACTATAAAATAATAATAGATAAAATAATAAAATAATAAAATAATATTGGATAATATAAAAGCTATATTTAAATTATTTGAATTAGATTTCATTAGGGAGCCAATAGGGAACTGAAATTGCCACACAATTTTTCCAAATTCGATTACCAAATTAATTTGAAGAATATGGAATTTTTAAACATTCGTAAACATTAATCTATTTATACCGCTAATATGACATAATCAAGATAGATTTATCGTGAACGCCAGTGATTCGTGACGATTTAGTTCGTTTATGGTAACGCGTGTAATGACGATTGCGACTGTAATTGGCCCATTGCGGCTTGACAAATGGGAGGAGGACATGAAACGAGCTCGGACAGGACGTAGTTTAGTTTTTCGTGTCCTTGGCATCGTATGTCCCGGGGACGCAGCGCTTCACCCACCAGCAGCATTTAGTGTCGGTAACAATAGTGCTACCGTGACGCTGTTCTCGGCAGAACGACAGACATCCGGCCCCGAAATTTTCAACTTGGCGTCCTTGCAGGTGACGAACGAGATTTATGACGGCGTGACGAGTCAATTTACGAGGTTCTTTAGAGATTGCACCAACACCTACCTTTCGAAACATCATTCAGAATTACCTAATTCGAAACTGCTTTCGGAATGATTTTGGATTATTATTATTATTATTATAATGTCTAGGATTGTTGTCGTGAACGATAAACTTTTGCACGTCCTTATATTGGTCTCCATCTCCCTGTTTCACACACTCGTTACGATTGCTATTGTTATTATTAATTAATATTACTATCATTATATTATTATTATTATTATGAAATCTTTGGGCTCTAGTGTAAATTAAAAAAGAAAAAAATTCTTGTAGTCTGAGAAAGATACTTCGAGAAATACGTTGAAACTAATAACTTCAAAATATTCGTAGAAAGTTAAGTGTAAAAATTATAAGAAGATTAATTTTCCTAGGCGTGTTTTTTTCTGCGTTTGTTGTTTGATTATGAGTGGCTTTTCGAGTTGTTGAAGGTATTCTTCTTGTACGCCGGCGCCGAAAGAGGGGCGTCGCCATCGCGATCGATAGGTGCGTCGCGAATCCGCCATTTTCTAGGAGGCACGCGTGCATAATGTTGCAAATTCTACCAAATTCTCTTTCAATTTTCGTTTCATTTCCTTCGTCGGCAGTCCTCGAATCTCAAACAGTCTTGGCAATTAAATAGTATTCTCCTCGAAGAGACAAACGAATGTTATGCAAAGATATATCAGAAGCAGGCAGTTTGGAGAACATTTACGACGGTTGACTTTTAAGATTGAGCATAGGGAGGCTTTGAAAATCGGAACGACTCAACGGTTCCATTAAGTTACTAGAGGCAATTAGCGTTTATTCCAAGATCGTCGAGACCACGTCCCGAACCATGGGTGCCAGATGCCTCAACATTTTACAAGTCACCCGGTATATAATGGGTCATAAATCTTCCTCCGTCTCTCTTGGGATCCTCCGAAGGGCGAGCGCAAAGTTCTCTCGTAGAATTCTTTGCCACTCTCCGCCCTGGCGAGAGTCGGTCCAAATTTCGCCGCGTTTCTCCCTCTGTTAGTTTCTAAAACAGCTTTGACCACTTGCGCCCGACAACCGATTGCGGACCATAACGAGTGACCAAAACCGTATACAATAATTCGTGTTGTATAATATAATACATAATAATATAATATAATATAATAATAATATAATATAGTACAATAATATAATATAATAAAATAATAATATAATATAATATAATATAATAATAATATAGTATAATAATATAATAATAATATAGTACAATATACAATAGTATGATATACAATATCAATAGTAATATATACAATAGTATGATATCACTGGATAGAAATTATTGAGAGGTAATAAATTTGTTATTTATTTTGCTTTATACTTAAATATATGTTCAATATATACTTAAAAAAGTATATATTTATATACTTAATATATACTTAAAAATAAGTTATAGTTAAATATATACTTAATATATACTTAAAAATAAGTTACACTTGAATATATACTTAATATATACTCAAAAATAAGTTATACTTAATAAATATATGCTGAATATATACTTAATATAAATAAAAATAAAAAATATACACTTAAAACTGAGAGAATATTGCAATTTCGGGACAAAAAAGATTCTCGACGTGCATCAATAAAGATGCTCTATTGCAGCATTGAATGTATTCATTGTTAATTGCAAATAAAGTTCAACATCTATAAGTTCATTGTTATGTACATTTTTTTAAACCCTAAATTAATTCGTCCGTCAGAGTTCCACCAATCGTCGAATAAACTGGTTGATCGAAATTGTTCAATTCTTAACAACGTGTCTCGAATTCGGTACACAGTGAAATTCATTTTCACATCGAACAAGAAATTGCTGGTGTCGTTGTTAATGTCAAAATCAGCTTGGCACTGAATGTGTTGAACAACAAGTTCGCAAAATTAGATACTCACCGTCTCTCCTCCAAGTCGTTCAATTTTGAAATCGTCATGAACGATCTAACAATTCCATGCTACTCGTGTCACGAATGAATCACACCAGAGCCTAGACTCTGCCTACGCTTTGCTATCAGGCAACGAAGCAGAGAGTCGCGCTAACGATTTATTCATTATTTCTCTACTCGAAATAAAAGAAAAAGGAAAAGAGAGAGAGAGAGAGAGAGAGAGAGAGAGATACGCAGGAGTTTTGCCGCTTGTTTACACGACGACCCGCGGCCAGCGTTTTGTTTTAATCGACAATGAGCAGAGAAGAGAAAGAGGCGTAATAAAGAGCGACGCACGGCTGCACGTGTCTCCGCCATTGTCTCCTCCTCGTTCCCCGCAGAGAGGAAATAATTAAGGGAGAGATCCGCGAGCAAGATAAAGCTCGATAAAGACCGGCAAAATGAATAAAAGGGCGCGCTAGGAATCTCGTCGATCTTATCGAAGTTCAGTTTCAGTTCTCCGATCTTTATCCTCGGAATTTTCTGTTTCGCATTGATTGTAGAATCTCGTTCGACCGCAGACACTTTCGTTTCAACGCTCGTAGCCGAACGATCTCTGTTATCCGAATTATATAGCCGAATGTAATATTAATTCTAATCCTAGTTTCGTATTTGATCGTTGTTTAATCAGACGAAATTCTATGTATCAGGAAAGAACACCATTGTCAATAATTATATGTGAGAAATAGTTAAATAATACAATTAGAAATTGAAAAATAATACACATAATACAATTAAAAATTATATGTGAGAAATAGTTAAATAATACAATTTATATGTGTGTAAATAATACAATTAAAAATTATATGTGAGAAATAGTTAAATAATACAATTAAAAATTGAAAGATCAGCTCGTAAAGAATTAATTTCTTTTATCGCCACTTACACTGGTTGGAAATGGAGTGTCGGTGATATCTAAAAATAAATTGGCTAACGATTATATTTCCAGAGATTGACCTAGGCCAAGATGATTTGTATCTTCGGCAGGTTACTCGATAGTCCCTTCACCGGCCTTATCACGGTATTTTCGAATCAGTATCGTTTTCCTTCTCTCTTTCTAATCCCAACGTTTTCACAAGCGTTTGGCCAAAACTCGACTTACAATTGCCCAGTCGCTCTTCTGTCCCGGCGAGCTTGGAATTTCGAAAGTCTCGGACGAGCACGGAGCAAATTGCACAAATCGAAAGGAAAGCAGAACGAGGCGACGGAAAGAGAAGGAAGGAGGACAGTCGCGTTTCGAGGAAAGACAAAAGGTGTCCCTGGATGACACTGACCCGTATGCACGTAAAAGCAGCCCCATCGCCCGGAGTCGTCCTCCTTTTTGACGAATGTCTCGTTTTGCCCATTGTGCCGCCGGACGTGGACGTGCGCGCAAAAAGGCAAAACGGCACCGCCTACCGAAAAACAAAAGAGCCGTCGAAATAGCCGGTCGTTTGTCTCGGGACATTTAGCCACGTCGTACGTATCCTATATCCACCCTTTCCCGATTTTTCACCCCTTTCGTTTCGCGTCGAGTCGACGTTACATCTATTTTTTTTCCCTTTTTTCTCTCCTCGTTCTCTCTTCTCTCTCTTTTCTCCTCTCTTTCTCTTTCTCTCTTCATCCATCGTGCGTTATGCAAATAGGCCGGGCGAAAGGGTTGCAGCGGCGAAAGTCGTGAACGGGACACGCGTTACAGTTTAAATATCGCAGCCTATTATCCCGGCGATAATGGGTTCACGCCCATGGCGGGCCGAAAGAGAAAGGCGTGAAATGGATTTTTTGGGACGTTTTCTTTCTGCGATTCCGGTTCCGCCTGGGAAACCGTGCGACGACGATTAAAAACGGTTGTCCTTCGGGACAGTTGTTTCGTTTGCTTCGATTCCCTCCGTTCCCTCTCTCCTTTGGACGTCGTCCTCGCCTGAAAATGATTTCATTTAGTACGAAACCTCTTCATATTTAATTGAATAATTGTGTGACAGAGTGAATCGAGGATGTCGCCGTAGGATTGATTACAACATTTTCCTTTAGTTTTATGTATATTTGAATGCAACCCAGGCGAAACAAACGAGTTTATAATTTTTATAATATTCTGTTCTTAATAATTTCTAAAATATAATATTCTATTCTTAATAATTTCTAAAATATAATATTCTATTCTTAATAATTTCTAAAATATAATATTCTATTCTTAATAATTTCTAAAATATAATATTCTATTCTTAATAATTTCTAAAATATAATATTCTATTCTTAATAATTTCTAAAATATAATATTCTATTCTTAATAATTTCTAAAATATGATATTCTATTCTTAATAATTTCTAAAATATGATATTCTAATCTTAATAATTTCTAAAATATAATATTCTATTCTTAATAATTTCTAAAATATAATATTCTATTCTTAATAATTTCTACAATATAATATTTTATTCTTAATAATTTCTACAATATAATATTCTATTCTTAATAATTTCTACAATATAATCTATTCTTAATCATTTCTACAATATAGTATTCTATTATTAATCATTTCTACAATATAATATTCCATTCTTAATAATTTCTATCCAGCGATGTCGTATCGACCGAGTTTAAAAGAAAAAGAAAGCGACGAATTGTTGTATACGATTCGGTCACTCGTTATGGTCCGCGGACCAGTTGCCAGCGCAGGGTTTTAAAAATGGAAAATAATGAAACGAGAGTGATCGTGAATCGCACGTGTCCTTCGAATATCGTACTTCCCCGTTACGTGTCGAGCAACGATTCGCAAAGCAAAGTCGTACGATCTTCGCGTAGAACACTTATTGTTGTACATATTATTTCACGTCACGTAACCTGTCTATATACTATACGAGGAAATTTCAAGTCCCTCCATTCATTCTTAAATTGATTTCTTCTAGTTATTATATAAATCTCTGTATAGTCGTTCCATATTTTCGTTGCTTCCCGTTTCCTTTTTAGAATCATTCTTCTTTTTCAAATTTTACTCTCGTATACATTTCTTTATACTTCAAATTCTACTTTGTTAATGTTCCCTTTCTCCAGAAGAGTTTCATTATCCAAACACCACTCTCTGTTTCTTTTCCAATGTCTTCGCGCATGCAGTTTTCCTTAAATATTTCAGCTTTCCTCTCACCGAGAAGGTAATCCGAGATTTTTCATTATTTCTTTGTTAACTCGCGTAAATTGCAGAGGCGATTCGATGGTCTTTGAAAAAACGGCGACAAACGATTCGATTATCGAGTCGATCGGGGGCTCTCACCGCCCGCCGATGGCTCCCGTGGCTCGATTATGATTCTATAAAGAGCGACACGCTGCGCAGTTACATTGTTACGTCGCGTCGACAACCAGCTGTATGTTTCGATGAAAGAAAA